TGGTAGTCAAAAAGAAAGTAATCTTGGTAACTCCATAATTAAAAACGTCATAAAAATATCAATTTTTTATTTAGCTTAATTTTTTTTTCTCCTCACAAAAATCACCAAGATATACTTTACACTTAATCTCAAAATAACCTGGAGTAAATTAAAATATATGAAGAAACTTGTGGAGAGCAAAGTGTTAATGGCGGAACTCTTTAAATTAGGAATCCAATGGCTATTTTCAAAGTCCAATGCCTTTTCACAGTAGAAACTTATCAAGTAGAGTGTGCAAAAGCAAAGGAAATGTTAGTCTGAGTATTAAACTCTGTATGTCACTAAAAATTCTTTTAAAAGTAACAGCCAATATAGATTAAACACTATATTACTTAGGCATTCTCCTAGTAACTTTGCATACATTTTTCTCAATTACTTTTTCCCCAATCCCAATAACCTATGAGGTCGAGATCAGTACAACCCTCAGTCTACAGATGAAGACAAATCGATGTTTAAGAAATATCAATTAAAATACTTTAATATCTACTTGAACTATGAGGGGCGAAGACCCACAGGGACGGCTTTCTATTACTGTGAATGGGTTTGGAAATAACTTTCTAAAAAGTAAAGCTCTTCAAAACGATACAGAAATTGTTACATACTACTGCCAACTACCTAAAACACATTACGTCACATTATAGCAGTCCGGTGCAAGAGCAGAAGTCCAATCTCTTCCCTCCTTTTGGTTGCTCCACTCTGCCCAGTATTCAAAATGGCATTTCCATGGCAATATAAATCCACATTACATAACTTCAAAATAATCTTCATACTCCTAGATCTAGTTTAAAAAATGCATTTAAAAAGCAATATTGAAGACCGAAAAGAAAGAAGTTGTACATTTGAACGGGAAGCGTGGTGACTGCCGAGAATGAATGGAGAGTTAACAGCGTACAGCACCCGCCAATGGGAGTCGGGGAAGGACAAGGATCATCACAGTCCTCCGCTGACAAGCTACACGGGTGCTTTAAATGGAAAGAAAAAGATGGACAGCAACAAAAATCCAAAGAGGAAGGAGCCCACTCGGCGCGACCGCGAGCTCTAAAATGATCAAAGCGGAAGGGAAAGAAAGCCGTTGGTGGCTAGCAGCACGGATCAGCGAAAAGCTCAGTACGCGGTGGAGCCTGGGGCGATGCGATAGTGTTCTAGGCCTGGAAAATCTAACGAAGGACTCTCCGAGCGCGAGTAAGAGAGAGAATCCTACGCTCCTCCGGGGCACACCTATCGTTCAGTGGCAACCGAGAGCCCCAAACCGGCATCGGCGACTCACGCCGCGGCAGGACGCGGAGCGGAAAGGGAAAGCGGGCGATAATGCAAAGAGGAAAAGCTCAGACTGCAGATCCGACCTCAAGCGGCTCCGGTGCCCAGGGCTGGGCCCACTGGTTTTCGGGGCTTGAAGAGAAGAAAACCCAAGCCTCGTGTCCGTCCCCTCCCCCACCCCAACTCCCCCCCCCTTCACCCCACCCTCCCTCGGCCTTTTCGCAGCCACCCCGGTTTTCCCTCCTCACCCAACGGAGGTTCCCGGGCTCCAGGTTTCCACACGCGTTCAGAAGCTTGAACTCACCCGCCGCAGAGGAAACAGTACTATCTTCGCAGCCTTCTAGGCTACAGACTACGGGTGGTTTTCACCCGTTCGAGGTTTTTAAATGCAGATAGGGAGTGAGACCGGTTAGTGGCGCCTGCTCACATAGGCCGCAAACACTGCCGAGCTGCGCGGGGAGCTTAGGGAAGTCGTCTCCTCGCCCGGCATGCACTGCGGCCGGAGGGCGGAGTAGAACACCATAGAGAAGACGCATATAGATAGTCCTCATGATGGGCTTTTCATCTACATACAGAGCCGGGATAACCATAGAGAAGCTCGTCTTGGGGCCTAGAAAGGCCCGAGCTATAAAAGAGGACCCACCCTACCGTAGTTTATTGGAGTTGATTGAATCTTGTGACCACGCGACGCCATCTTGAGGTCAAGGTTCTGACTGGGAACGGGTTGACTTCTGTTAAAGGATTTCTGTTGTTTCTGTTTCAGAAATTAGAAGCCAATTTGATGTGTTCATTGGAGTGATTGACTGGGACCAGCACCTTCTGACAGGAACTCTTAGTACTAATCTTACTCTTGTAAAAAAATTTGATTTCAAGAAATCGCTGGCAACAATTGTTGTTGTTGTTGTTTAATGCCGTCGAGTCGTAGATGACTCATAGCGACCCTATGAACGAACAGCCTGAGCACTGTTCGTACATAGAGCTTCCGGAGGCAACAATTATACTCTTATAAAATATCTATGAATGATTGGATGAAAAGACCAATTATTTGTAAACTTTAACTCAATTTTTTTTAAATTGCTGACAGCCTATAAAATAACAAGGTTGATTCTGTAAAAATGCAAAAAAAAACCCCGCTTCTACCCTAGAGTAATGAAAAGAATAATCTCAATAGAGATTATCCAACTGGTCCAGTGATGAGCATCTTTGTCTTGATAGTGAGGTTCAATTCATATTGAAGACTACAGTCCTTGACCTTCTGCAGCAAATGCTTCAGGTCCTTCTCAGGACCTCTCATATAGATTGAAAAGGTATGGAGACAGGATGCATCCCTGGCACACTCATTCCCTGATTTTGAACCTTGCAAGTGTTTCCTTGCTCTGTTCTGAGGACTGCTTCCTGATCTAAGTATAGGTTTTGCATGAGCACTATCAAGTGTTGTGGGATTTGCATTCTTTTCAAGGTTAATCACAATTTATTGTGATCCACACAAATGCTTTTGCATAGTCAATGAAACACAGACGCTATTCTGGTACTCTGCTTTCTGCCAACATCCATTTATCTGCTTTGGCGATAAAGTCTCTAGTGCCACAAACTCTTCTAAACCCAGCTTGTACTTCTGGCAGTTTTCTGTCAATGTGCTGTTCTAGTCACTTTTTGGATAACAATCAGCAGAATTTAGCTTGCATGTAGTATTAGTGATATTGTTTGATAATTTCCACACTCTGTCAGGTCACCTTTTTTTCTGAATGGAAATAAATATGGATCTCTTCACAGTCGACCAGGTAGGTTTCCTACCTTTCTTGGCACAATATGGTAAGCACGTCTAGGGCAGCATCTGTTTGTTGAAATATGTCAATTGGTCTTCCATCAATTCCTGGGGTGGCTTTTTTTCCCCCAAGTCCTTCAGAACAGCTTGCACTTATTCCTCATCACTATTGCCTCTTGATTATATGTTGTTTTATGAAATTCTTCTGTGTCAACCAATGCTTTACTCCCTCTATCTTCTTTTAGTGTTTTCTGGATCATTCAGTATTCTTCCCATAGCACCCTTAAATATTGCAATATATGGCTTGAATTTGTTCTTTAGTTCCTTTAGCTTAAGAAATGCCAAGCAAGTTTGGCTCTTTTGATTTTCTGACTCCTGATCCTTGCACACTTCTTTATAATACTTTGCTTTGTCTTCCCAACTGTCCTTTGAATCTTCTACTTCAGCTCCTTAACTTCTTCATTTCTTTCCTTTGCTTTGTGCCTTAAAGTTTGTTAGTTAGGTGTTGTACAGTAGATTACAACTCATAGTGACCATATGAACAAAAGATCTGAACCCTGTTCTGTCCTGCACCATCCTCACACTTCCCAACACACAAGAGCCCATTGTGATAGTCACCGCATCAGCCCACCCGGTCAAGGGCCTTCCTCTCCTTTGCAGACTCTCCACCCTTCCTAGCATCATGTCTTTCTCCAAGGAATAGCCCCTCCTAGCAATATACCCAAAGTATGTGAGGCAAAGCCTCATCATTCTTGCTTCTGAAGAGCACTCTGGCAGCACCTTCTTCAAGACATATCTGTTTGTTCTCTTATCTATCCATGCAATGTTCAGTGCTCTTCTCCAGCATCACAAGTCAAAGGTGTCAATTCTTTTTTTGTCATCTTTATACATTATCCAGCTCTCAGATGCATAGCAAGTAATCAGAAAGACCATGGCTTGAGTCAGATGCATCTTAGTCCTCAAACTGACATCATTAATCCTCAATAGTTTGGAGAGGTTTCTAACTGCAAATTTTCCCGATGCAATGCGTCTCCTTATTTCCTGACTGCTGATACCAAGGGCGTTAATTGTGGATCCAAGCAAGATGAAGCTGTTGACAATTTCAGTCTCTTCTCCATCCATCATGATGCTGCCTATTGATCCAGTGGTAAGATGATTTTGAGATGCAATCCATACTGAAGGCTGCATTCCTTCATCTTTTGCAACAAGTGCTTCAAGGCCTCCTTGCTTTCAGCAAGCAAGGTTGTGTCCAGCTTCTCAGATAATTTGCTCAGAATACCGATTGAATAGGTATGAACAGATAGCACTGCCAACCCAAAGGCACACAGTTCAAATCTACTAGCTGCTAGGCAGCAGACAGAAGGGAAATCTTCTGGGCAAGTTACAAGCCCTGAAAGCCCACCAGGAGAATCTGCTATGAGTTGGTTTCCTCAATAACACATAACAATAACAGCATTTACTAACATCAAACTATGTGGGTTTTTAAATTATTATTTATTATGTTTACTGTCTCTGTGATTATGGGTTAATCCAGCAGGTGATTTACAGGCAGAGAAACCCAGCAGAATCAGCTACAAATCTGTCCCAGGTGGATGGCAATGAGGGTTTTTTGGGGCTACGTTATGGAATATGTTGCCCTTTTGTAGGAAGTGAGTCCTCTTGATGACATGTCTGAAGTGTGTGAGGCAAAGTCTCACCATCCTTATGTCTATGGAGCATTCTAGCTGTTCTTTCAAGACAGATTTCTTTGTCCTCCTGGCAGTCAGTGGTGTAGTTATTATTCCTCACCAACAATGTAATTCAAATAAGTCCATTTTCGTCATTGTGGGGTGTTCTTTCTTCATTGACTCATCCAAACACAAAATGCAATGGAGGCGGTGATGGTAAAGGCTCTACCACTCCTAAGGAAAAGGCATGAAATGTATATCTTTCTGGAATCTCAATACCAGATGTTCTTGCCATTGATAGTTGTTATTGAGTTTATTCCAACTCCTGACAACCTCAAATGTACAGAGTAGAACTTCTTCCTCTAGGTGAATTCCAACAGCCAAGTACTGAACAAATCTTACCACCTATGGATTCCTTTCCTTACCATTAAATAGAGCTAATAATACCTATTTCCCAAGATGATTATTGTAATGATTGAGTTAACAATTGCATATGAAAATACTTTGTTCCGTAAAGCACAAATTAATTCCATTGCTTAGAATGTACCCCAAGATAATGAGAACTGAGGCTCAAACAGAAACTTGTACACCAGTGTTCATAGCAGCATTATTCACCATTGCAAGAACATGGAGGCAGCCTAGATGTACAACCACACACGAATGGATTGAGAAGTTGTGGGACATTCATACAATGGAATACTACACAGCATGCAGGAGCAATCATTTTGTAAATTACTACCTAACTTGGGAGTTTTCATTTTAAAGAAGCAGTTAGCATCCCAGCAGAGGCCTAGGTTCCAGCTGTCAAAAGTTTGGGTTAGTAGCCCAATACTTAACCATTGAGCCACCAGAGCTACTCCTGTGTGGGAGAAAGATGTGGCAGTTGTGAAGAGTGCAGCCTATCCTATAGGGGGAGTCCCAGATGGGTTCCAGTGAATCACTCAAGTAAACAGGTAATAGGTTAAGCGGAGCAAACTCTTTCTACATATATATTTACCTAAAGGAAGCTCTGGTGGCATAACCAGCGTGTTGTGCTGCTAACTGGAAGTTTATGCTCCTTTGGTAGTTTTAAATACAACAGCTGCTTTAAGAAAGATTTACAGTGTCAGGATATTTTGATATGAGTCAAAATCAACCCAATGGCAGTGGGTTTCTGAGTTTATTAACCTAACTGAGAAGAATGGGAATCCCAGAACATTTGATTGTCCTTATGTGAAACCTATACTTGGACCAGGAGGCAGTCGTTAAAACAGAGCAAGGAAACACTGCATAGTTCAAAATTGAGAAGGGTGTATGCCAGGGATGTGTCCTATCTCCATATCTTTTCAATCTATGTGCAGAACAGATTATCCAGGAGGCTGGGCTCTATGAGGAGAAATGTGATTAGAGGATTAGAGGAAGACTCATCAACAATCTGCGCTTGGTGGAGGGGGTGGGTGGATTGTATACCAATGAAAGAATTTTTCTTTTACTTTTCAAAGAGAAGAGTGAACTGGGGGGGGGGGCGGAGGGGAATGCAACAATAAATGAATAAATGGAAATCCAAAATCTCTGTAAAGTTTCATTAAAATTAATAAAGAAAAACCCAATCTGTGTTACGCAGATGACACAACCCTGCTTGCTAAAACTGAGAAAGACCTGAGGACCTGAAGCACTTGCTGCAGAAGGACAAGGACTGCAACCTTCAATATGGATTGAAGCTCAACATAAGAAAACAAAGATTCTCACCACTGGGCCGATTGGCAGCATCATGATGGATGTTGAAGAGATTGAGATTGTTCACAGCTTTAGTTTGATTGGCTCAACAATCAACACTCTTGGCACCAGCAGCCAGGAAATTAAAAGATAGATTGCACTGGGAAAGTCAGCTGTCACAGACTTCTCCAAAGTACTAAG